CGGCTAGTTTTTTGTATTTTTTAGTAGAGACGGGGTTTCACCGTGTTAGCCAGGATGGTCTCGATCTCCTGACCTCATGATCCGCCCGTCTCGGCCTCCCAAAGTGCTGGGATTACAGGCTTGAGCCACCGCGCCCGGCCGAAAATAAATAAAAATTTAAAAAGCTACTGAGGGTTATGAGCAGACGACAGACATTATCTGCTTTATAGTTCAGAAAGATCTCTCTGGCTAATATATGTAGAACAGTCTGTTGTGGAGTAGACAGAAGAGGGGGAAAAGGTCCTAAGAAGCTCACTTAACAGGTTATTGCAATAATCCAGGCAAAAAGACAATAGTAGAGTGAATAAAGTAATCAGAAGAAGTGATAGTATTCTAGATAAATTATCAAGGATGAGCTGGCAGACTTTGCTGGTGGATGTGGAGTGTGAGGGGAAAAAGAGTCAGGAATGACTATAAGATTTTTGGCCTCTGCCACTAGAAAAACAGAGCTGCCATTTACCAAGATGAGGAAGACTGCAGGAAGAACAGGTTTGAACATGTTAAGTTTGACAAGAGTAGATGATATCTGGGTGGAGATGTTGAGTAGGTGGTAAAATACACAAGTCAAGACACTGATCTTGACCCTGACTTCTTCCCTCTCACTAACAGATATACAGAGAAGACATTTTAACCTTTGATTGTGATACACAAACAACTGCTGATGTTCTGTGGTACCCAGATCAAGAGACAAAAACACTACACACCTCTGATCCATTGTGTTGTGTAAGTGTACTGTATGAGGGTCCTTTGTTATCATGACCTTTCATGTGACTTTTGAGACTGTATTGAGTGCTGAATGTTTTCTCACAGCCATTACTGGGGCAGAAGAAGGGTCTTTCACCTGCAAGAATAACAAAGTCGTGTTAATTTACCATAAAGTCAGTTCACTGGATGAAGAAATCTACCTTTCCCTAACAGAGGTAAGTATTTTTAAGAAACTTTGGCTAACAGTTGTTAAAAGTTGAATAAATTACACATTAATCATCTCAGTCCTAAAACTCAATGCAGAGCAAAGCACTGGGAATGACTGCTGCTGGGAAGTTTAAAGAGAAGATTTGTTTCTCACAGATTGTTTTTTTTAGAGTGTCTCTGTATTGGTTTCATTTCTTAAGGTTGAACACCTGAGGTCCGCCTCTGACAGAAACCCAAACATTCTAGGTAAGGCTGAGCTAATTAGGCTCACCTGAATATATACAGACTCTATGTCTCTGTATATCCACCTAGCTCTACAGGTCTCAATGGAAAACTGATAGTTACAGGCTTGATGAATGTTAAAATAAAAAATAAAAATTGGCCTAAACTCACCAGTATGTGTACGAACGTGAGTTTTAAGGTGGTGACTTGCTGCAAATGCTTTTCCACAGCCATCGTGATCGCACCTAAATTTGATAAACAAAGAGAAACAGGAGTCATTAGCTAATAGACCTTTACCCTGAACATCATTTTTTTTTTTTTTTTTGAAACCAAGTCTTGCTCTGTCCCCCAGGCTGGAGTGCAGTGGCACAATCTCGGCTCCCCGCAAGCTCTGCCTCCTGGGTTCACACCATTCTCCTGACTCAGCCTCCCGAGTAGCTGGGACTACAGGCACCCAACCACCACGCCTGGCTAATTTTTTTGTATTTTTAGCAGAGACAAGGTTTCACCGTGTTAGCCAGGATGGTCTCGATCTCCTGACCTTGTGATCTGCCCACCTTGGCCTCCCAAAGTGCTGGGATTACAGGCGTGAGCCAACGCGCCTGGCCTCTGAACATCTCTTATAAATACAAACTAAAACAAATATTCAGAACACTATGATCAGATCAATGACACTGGTTTTAGAGAATGGGAATGATGAGGGGTCCTTGAAAAAGTAAGGTGGCATATCTGGGATCAGAGGGAACCGAGAGCCCAGGATAAGTATTTCTTGCCCTACAGGTAAGGCCTATGTTGAGAGCCCTGACAACAAAAGTCTTTTGATGAATTACTTAAAAGACCTCTATTGACAGTGACAGTCCATATGAAAAATCTGCCAGTGGAACATTAGGAATATCAAGAGTGAGCAAAGTGGCTCTCAAATATGCACATGGCTTGAAATATAAGAACAAAATCAATCAGAAGACAGGCTCAAGTAACTTATCTATAATCTTGTGTGTCAAGATCTACTTCATTCTCTTTTAGTCTTGATAACCAAAGCTAAAAGGAATCTTTCCCTCCTCAGAACTCCTAAGGCATTTCTTTACATTTCTTTTATGGCACCTCTCATTTCCAATCTTATTTTCTCTGTAGATACATCTGGTATCTGCTTTCCTAGAGTGTAAACTACTTGAGTACAGGATCCACGCAGCTCTTTCTGTAGCTCCTGCACATAGCAGACAGTCCTTAATTACTTATATGAATGAATGCATTTTCTTATAAACCAAAATATTTTATTTCTTTAAATAGAAAGCTTCTCTACAGCATTTTCATTTTTAATTACATATAATCATCTTCATGTCTAAAGTCTCACTGAATATTCAAGAAAAATGCAGTTTTAATCATCACAAAGAGAAATGCATGTGACTGGATAGCAATCAGAGTCCTCTCAGCAGCCTACGGGGTGGAGATGGGGAGGGAATAATCTAAGTTTCACAGCATCCATCTGTAGAGTAACCAATTACAATCTAACTACTCTTGCCCTTAAAGGGATCATGACTCAGGAATACATTTGTAACTTAAAAATACAAGTCCTTTTTTTTTCTGAGACATGATCTCTCTCTGTTGCCCAGGCTGGAGTGTAGTGGCATAACCACAGCTGACTACAGCCTTGGCCTCCCTGGCTCAAGCGATCCTCCCACCTCAGCCTCCTAAATAGCTGGGACCACAGGCATGCGCCACCACTCCCAACTAATTTTAAAATTTTTTGTAGAGTTGGGATCTTACTGTGTTGCCCAAGCTGGTCTCAAACTCCTGGGCTCAAGTGATCCTCCCATCTCAGTCTCTCAAAGTGCTGGGATTACAGACATAAGCCACCACGCCCAGCTCACAATTACATTTGATTGGCATCTAAGAGTTGACTGTCCCTAAGACTTTTTGTTTCTAAGTACTCTGATAAAATGAGTGGTTTAAGAAGGAACAGGTAGCATATTTAATGCCTTGAATATAACTGTGATATCCCCTGACAAAATTCAAATACATTATTATTTTTATTTATTTATGTTTTTTTGAGAGAGTCTCACTCTGTCATCCAGGCTGGAGTGCAATGGCACAATCTCGGTTCACCAGATTGCGGTGGGGAACCTCCGCCTCTCTGGTTCTAGCAATTCTCCTGCCTCAGCCTCCAGAATAGCTGGGACTATAGGCACGTGCCACCACACCTGGCTGATTTTTGTAGTTTTAGTACAGATGGGGTCTCCCCATGTTGGCCAGGCTGGTCTTAAACTCCTAACCTCAAGTGATCCACCTGCCTCGGCCTCCCAAAGTGCTGGAATTACAGGCGTGAGCCGCCATGCCCAGCCTCAAAGACATTGTTTATGGGCAGTTTTCAGCAATACATCTATCTATATTACATTTAGGGGAAATCCTTACAAACTGATTATCTCATTTAAAATGTCATATAATCATCCCAAAGCTGAGTTTGAACACCTATTAAATGCCCAGAATCATGTTATATACTATGAGCAGAGAAAAAAGTAGATAACCAAAGTCCCTCCTTCAAGTTTATAGTACGTGTATCTATTTGATATACATATGTTGACATATATGAATAAAAATGGATGCTCCTATATGTTTGTGTATACACACGAGATATTATTACAAAGCAATAACTTGAACAAGTAACAACTGCATCACTAAGCTAAGCATCCCTACCTCTCATTTCCTCTCTTGTCTCCTCATCCCCTCCCCTCCTTGATTCTTAGGTATCCCTCCTCTGGGCTCAAAGCACTTTGGCCATTTGCAGCCTCAGACATTATCCACAAATTTTGTGGGTTTTTTGTCACCAGACAAAGGTTCTTAAGAAGAAGGCCTGCTTCTGAGTAATTCTCTAGCACTAACAAAAGTACCTACCACATAAGTGAGTTTCAACAAATGCTTCTTGGAAATAAATGGAAACAATGAGGCAGAAAGGCCATCATCCACAGAGTAAGGATGTTCTTGGACTCCACCAGCACCCCTCTAATCTGCAGTGGTTGGTTACAGCTATCCTGGGGTGAGTTAACGCTGCCAAAGAAAGAGCTAGTAAAGGGAGTTTTCTTTCTCTTTTGAAAAATTTCAAAGTGTATCAAGACCCCCAGCTGAAACCCGGTCAGTGACAAATAGCAAACAGTAAGACCTACCGAAATGGCTTTTCCCCTGTATGGGTTCGAATGTGCTTCCTCAGATCACTGAGTGTGGTGAAGTATTTGCTGCAGCCTTCAGATTCACAGTTAAACGTTTTCCCTGTGTGAAGCCTCTGATGTGCTTTCAGCCTGCAAAATATTCCAGAGAAATTCCCTTTGTCATAAAATTCTTTTTTTTTTTGAGATGGAGTTTCGCTCGTGTCGCCCAAGCTGGAGTGCAATGGCACAGTCTCAGCTCACTGCAACCTCCTCCTCCTGGGTTCAAGCGATTCTCCTGCCTCAGCCTCCCAAGTAGATGGGATTATAGGAGCCCACCACCACGCCTGGCTAATATTTGTATTTTTAGTACAGATGGGTTTCACAGTGTTGGCCAGGCTGGTCTCGAACTCCTGACCTCAGGTGATCCACCTGCCTCGGGCCTCCCAAAGTGCTGGGATAACAGGCGTGAGCCACTGTGCCCGGCCTCCCTTTGTCATAAAGTTCTACAGAGCCTCCCTATGCCAGTTTAATGTGCTTCAGGATCAAGTGTGTAAGAATTCTATACCCATATTAGTATCCAGCATATTTTGCCCCAAAAGAAATGCAGAGAATAGCATAGTGATATGAGTGTGACTCTGGAGACTGACTTCCTGGGATTCAAATTCTGACCCCACATCCTGCTTGGATGGGGAAACCTGAGCTAGTTATAGAACCCCTCTGTGCTTCCACTTACTTATCAGCTGCTATGGGGACTAGCACTTAGAATCATGCCTAGCACACAGTGAGTACTTTTTAAGTGTTAGCTATTGTTATTTCTATTAGTTTATACTCAATACTGAAGACTATTAAGTCTCCTGATACAAACATGAAAAAGAGAATTGGCTTTTCATGTTTGTATGAAATGGCCCACTGAATGGGCCACTCCCCATTTCTCAGGATAGAAAAGTCCTTCAAGCTGAGGTAGGACAGAAGCCTTAGTACAAAGATCCTGAGCCATAGGGAGATAGTACTCTATGCCAAGCACTGAAATGCCCAGGCCAGAATGCTGCTCCATGAGATGCAAATCTAAATACAAACGTACTGTCGCTTCTAACCAGCCCAAGATACGTTCATCTTTAAGTAACAAGTTTCTAAGGCTGGGAGCCGTGGCTCACACCTGTAATCCCAGCACTTTGGGAAGCCAAGGCGGGTGGATCACGAGGTCAGGAGATCGAGACCATCCTGACTAACATGGTGAAACCCTGGCTCTACTAAAAATACAAAAAATTAGCCGGGCTTGGTAGTGGGCGCCTATAGTCCCAGCTACTCGGGAGGCTGAGGCAGGAGAATGGCATGAACCTGGGAGGCGGAGTTTGCAGTAAGCTGAGATTGCACCACTGCACTCCAGCCTGGGCGACAAAACGAGACTCCATCTCAAAAAAAAAAAAGAGTAACAAGTTTCTCTAATGCATTTTTTAAATTTTTTCTTTCATTTTCTGAGATCTGGCAGAAAGGAATTTTACATAGTTGAACACAGCTGCGGTCTTTTAAAGCCCTGAAAGTGAATAACTCTCCCCTGCAAGGAGAAAGAGCCCTGCAGTCACAACAAGGTCAAGGTCAGAGGCTGGCAGAACAACGGAGATGAGGCTGACCTGTACAGTGTGTTGAATGCCTTCTCACAGCCCTGCACGTCGCACTCAAATGGCTTTTCCTTCGTGTGCACTCGCACGTGGATCCTGAGGCTGTAAGAGGTAAGGAAGGCTTTGCCACAGCCCTCCTGATTACAGACAAAGGTGTACTCTCCTCGGTGAGTCTTCTGGTGGGTTCGCAGGTTGCCTGCTGTGCTGTAGGTGCGGGGACAGCCCTCAAAGGTACACTGGTACCGCTTTACCTGGCAGACAGAAGACACCTCATCAACAGGACAAAAGCGCTGCACAGGGCTTAACTTTCCGACCCAGAGCTCAGCTCCCAAGAGACGTTGTAGACAATACAAATGGGTTTTCATCATAAACACAGAAAACAGCCTCTAGCAGCAAAGTGGAAAAACCTTATTGTTGATCAAATCATACCTGGACAACACATAATGATTTATGGGGAAGAAATAAGTCTATATGTATATGAATATTCTAAATGAATATAAGAGTGTTTTCAAACTCTATATACATCTATGCACTAAAAGTACACTATACTGTTACAGCTACCTGTATTCAAATAAGATCTTAACTTATTTTAAGGCTTGACTAAACACCCTGACCTCCAGAACTACAACTTGATAGACCAATATTAAATTGAGTTTAAAACATCTTGAAATTTACATACTTAACCATCAAACATATTTCCCTAGATCATTTCCACTGCATATTTTCAAGCCTACAAAATGACAACATATTGCAAATTTCTTGGAAGATTTGGTGATGTGATAATTCTTAAACTGCCAATCTCTTGTTTCCTTTCACCATCAAACTTCTTGAAAGGCGAGTCAATTATTCACCTCATGGTAGAAGGTTAAGAAAAAAAAAAAAGCTGCTTCTCTGACAAATACCGAACGGCAGATGACTCTAGTGCAGTGGAGGGCCTGGAATGGGAGGCCCAGCAGCTTCACCAGAGACTTTGGCAGGGATATTGGGGCCAGGGTCATGGCTGTGGTTGGCCAGGAGCCAGGGCTGAGGCCATGGAGCTCTCAGAGGCAAGGCTGAGAACAAGGAGTGGATGCACATCACCAAGCTGGGCTGCCTGGTCCAGGACACAAAGATCATGTCCCTGGAGAAGATCTAGCTCTTCTCCCTGCCCATCAAGGAGTCTGAGATCATTGACTTTTCGCTGGGGTCACCTCTCAAGGATGAGGTTTTGAAGACTACACCTCTGCAAAAGCAGACCTGCACTGGCCAGTACACCAGGTTCAAGGCCATCGGGGACTACAGTGGCCACATCAGTCTGGATGTTCAGTGCTCCAAGGAGGTTGCCAATGCTATCCAAGGGGCCATGATCCTGGTCAAGCTCTCCACTGTTCCTGTTTGGAGAGGCCACTGGGGGAACAAGATCAGCAAGCCCCATGCTGTCCCTTGCAAGGTGACAGGCTGCTGTGGCTCTGTGCTGGTATACCTTATCCCGCCCCCACCCCACCTGAGGCACTGGCATCATCTTGGCCCCTGTGCCCAGGAAACTGCTGCTGATGGCTGGTATTGACAACTGCTACACCTCCGCCAGGGGCTGCACTGCTACCCTGGACAACTTCACCAAAGCCACCCTTTAGGCCACCTCTAAGACCTATAGCTACCTGACCCCGATCTCTGGAAAAAGACTGTATTTACCAAGTCTCCCTATCAGAAATTCACTGACCACCTCATCAAGACCCACACCACAGTCTCTGTGCAGAGGACCCAGGCTCCAACTGTGGTTATAACACAGGGATTTTACACAAGAAAAATAAAGTGAATTGAGAAGGAGGAGGAGAAGGAGAAGGAGAGGAAGAGGGAGAGGAAGAGGAAGAGGAAGAGGAAGTAGTCAGGGTGTGGTGGCTCATGCTTGTAATCCCATCACTTTAAGAGGCCAAGGCAGGAAGATCACTTGAGGCCAGGATTTCGAGACAACCTGGGCAACACAGCAAGACCCTGTCTCTACTAAAAACAAAGAAAACCACAAAATCAGCTGAGCATGGTGACATGCGCCTACAGTCCCAGCTATTTGGGAAGCTGAGGTAAGATTGCTTGAGCCCAGGAGTTCAAGGTTACAGTGAGCTATGATTGCTACTGCACTCCAGCCTGGTGGACAGAACCAGACCTGACCTCAAAAAAGAAAAAAAAAGAGGGAAGAAAAAGTAGATAAACAATAATAAAAATAAAAGTATTAATAAAGAAAATCCCAGCCTGGGCAGCATGGCAAAACCTCATCTCTACAAAAAACACAAAAGTTAGCCAGGCGTGGTGGCATACGCCTACAGTCCCAGCACTTAGGAGGCTGAGGTGGGAAGATCACTTGAGCCTGGGAGGCTGAGGCTGCAGTGAGCTGTGATCACACCACTGGACTCCAGCCTAGGTGACAGAAAAAATAATAATAACATTTTGGGCTGATTTAGAAAAGAAAGAAATAAAAGAAAAAAATTTTTTTAAATTAAAAAATGGCAGTTGACATGTGTGCCTCCATTTCCATTAATGCCCACGTATTTCTTAACCAGTTGGCAAGATGGCTTCACTGTATGAAATTATTCTCTTAACTTCCCGTTGGTCAAATTCTTTCGTCCTTCCCTATTTTCCTTGACTATTCGCAAACATATCTCATTGATCATGTCCTCAATGTCTGAAAACTTGTCCTTCACAACATAGTAATGCCTTGGGGCACTCTTTAACTCCTTCTCTGAGACACTTCTTTCCCTTTACCTCTAAGCGTAGGTGTAGCGATTCCAAATTTTGTCTCTCATCTCCCAAACATTCCTCATATCTATACTGATGCAGTAGAAGCACTAGACTTGGCAGCAGAAGACTGAATTCTGGCACTTTTGTTCAACATATATATATGTGTGTGTGTATATATAGGTATGTATATGTATATATATGTGTGTGTGTGTGTGTGTGTGTATATTTTTTATTTTTTGAGACAGAGCAATGAAGAATGATGTTACCGGAGCTAAAGGAAAAAGGGTCTCAAGGAAACATGATCAACATGTTAAATGTCAGAGAAAATAAGGAAGGTAAAGACTGGGGAAGTGACTGGATCCAGCTGCTAGGAATTCACTAATGACTTAGCAAGACTAGTTTCAGCAGACTACTGGGATCAGGGTCCAGATGCAGGTGACTGAATGAAAGGTAAAGTGGAGGTAGAGGCTAGAGATGAAGTACAGCAGCACAAGTGAACTCCTGAGTTGATAAAGTTTTTTTGTTTTTGTTTTTAAGAGACAGGGTCTTTGTTGCCCAGGCTGGAGTGCAGTGGTGTATTCATAGCTCACCGTAACTTTAAACTCCTGGGCTCAAGTGACCCTCCCTCCTCATCCTCCATAGTAGCTGGGACTACAGGCACATGCCACCACACCCAGATAATTTTTAAATGTTTTGCTGTGTTGCCCAGGTTGGTCTGGAACTCCTGGCCCCAAGCAATCCTCCTGCCTCAGCATTCCAAAGCGATGGGACTACAGGCTTGAGCCACCACACCTGGCCTGTTTTTTTTTTTTTAAAGTAAGTCAGTTCTTGAACATATTTGGGGGCAGAAAAGTCCTGGAAGAAGAAATTGAGGATTTAAGGAGGAAAATGAAGAAGAGAAACATTCAAAAGCTCGGGAGGAGGGGAAAGTCTCAGGTAGGAGAGGGACATTTCGTTTCAGAGAAGAGATCTGAGATAAGGATGAGTGTGACTCAAGGATGGACAAAGTTTTCTGTAAAGGGCTAAACAAAAAATAGTTTAGGCTTTGTGGGCCTTATGGTCTGTGTCACTAGTCACCTCTGCATGTTAAAGTAGCAACAGACAATACATAAATGAAACAGCAAGGCTCTGTTTCAAAAACGTTATTTATGGACACTAAAATTTGAATTTCATATATCATGATATACTCTTTTGATTTTAAAAAAATCATTTAAAAATGTAAAAACCATTCTTAGGCTTAAGGGCTGTGCAAAAACAAGTAACCGGATGGATCTGGCCTGTGGGCCACAGTTTGCTAACCTCTGAAACCTGTGGGAGTAGGGTAGTAGGGAGGGCCCCTACTCCTCCTGTCTCCCTTCCCACCCCTCCCCCACCTGTCCAACCCCCATCTGATCTTGTACAAGTCTTTAGGTTCCTTAGTCAAGTGCTCTCACCTGTTCATTGGGTTCTCTTTCCACTGCCACACAGGAGAAGCTCCATAAATATTTGTTAAACTGAATTCCTTCTTGAACCACTAATCCAGGTATTCTTCTCATGTCTCAGGACCTAGCTTTGCAGTCATTTGTTGCCAGATTAAGTCTAAAACAGTTTTCTACATATTTCATCTCTGCTCAAATGATAAAAGTCCCAATTCCTTTGCCTAACATTCAAAGATCTTTCCAGGGCTTCTTCTGTCTTCTATCACATTACTTGGTAAGCAGCCAAACAGAAGACTCTGTCTAGGCCTATAAGCAACAGTACACTTTTACCCATTTGCAAGACTGATTCCTACTTCCCTGACTTTGTTCTCTCCTTCTCTACTGGAAATGCCTAGATCCTTTCTTCTCTGCTTTTCTGAGTCCTTCTCTTCCTTTAACGCAAGCCTCAGGAACTCCAAGCTCCTGCACAATCACTCCACGTCTACATGACAGTACCCTTCTCTGAATGCCAGTAATATTTACTATACCACTCATCTGACACTTAGTTTATACTGTTCATTATCGTCTTATGCATATATTCTGACTTCCCATCAAGACTAAAAACCTCTTTAGTGCTGCCAGATAGAGAATTGAAAATGATCACTCACCACTAAGGAGAACTGGGACTGTGGATGCTGGGATAAAGGAGTCTGCATGTCTCAACCATAAAGCTTACAACAATGCTGAATGATAAGAGCAGAATTTCACTCTTAAGATGCTACAGCTGTTGATACCTTTATACGTAACTGCAACAAATAATTAACTACTCCCTCCTGTCTCCCTGCCCCGCCAAACTCTGCTCCCATCCAGGTTTTTTCACTTGCACAATTCAGGCTTCCACTAAATGACCCTTCCTCTAGAAACTCTTCCTGATTGACCCTTACTTCTATCCCAAACTAGAATAGGTATCCTAATTATAGGTTTTCGGGGCTTTCTGTAAAGCACATGATACAATTAAGATGCCATAATTACACGATTAAACCATTTACATCATTATGTTTCATGGTAGGCACAACAGTATCTGAAAAACAACAGGCACTAAATAAATATTTGTCCAATTAAATGAATGAATAGCTACTTCC